GCATACAGCAGGCACTAGCTGTTAGTTCCTTTTCTGAAAGACATAGGGATGTGTGTGTATATACATATATATGTAGGCTTAAGTAATGTATAAATATATAATTGTGCAAGCCTCTGCAGTCAGTTCTTCTGTAACCTGCAGTCATGCAACAGATATGCTGAGAAAGGATCTGGGGTCAGTGGCCTCAATTTCTTCACATTTCCTGGCTGTAGCTGCCATAATAGTTGCTGGCATAAATCCTCAGCATTGATCTACTATTCCTCCTCGGTATTTTTAGCAGATACCAAGAGTTTTATTAACTCAAACATATTTTCTAAAGGGAAATATTATTTCTAAGAAGCTAAGTCAGTTCACAAGGAAAACCAACCTATACTGGTAGAGCATTTTAAACAAACGGACTCCAAGACTGACGGAGCTTAAAAGGAGTTTCAGAGTAGATCCATGCAATACCTTTATTTACCATTTAAGAAAACCACAGAGAGATGGAGAGACTGATCAAACGGGCACAGTTATCATCCAGCAAAATTCCCAGATGGCTACAGCAGCTCCGCATAGCGCTCCATGCTGATGAGCTCATGTTGCATGTTGGACAGACAATACAAGGCAGAGAAGAGCTAAGGATAAAGTCACTGGAAACACTCATGTTTAATGTCATTAGATCACAGACCTACAATAACAAATACTAATTGCAAAATATGGAACAGAACCCCATTTAGGGAATTTTACCATCCTAACTCCCCAATTAATTCGCTTTGTGACATTAGGCAAGTTACTTAACTAAAGTCAACTTCCTCATGATTTAAAAGAAGGTGCTAATACCTGCCTTAAAGCCTTGTTCTGAACAATATCTCTTCTGTGGTGTTCTTTTTTTTAAAAAAAATGATGTTTTCATTGATTCTTGAGAGAGAGAGAGAGAGAGAGAGAGAGAGAGAGAGAGAGAGAGAGAGAGAGAGAGGAAGGGAGAGGAAGCCAGAAACATCGATGAGAAAGAGAACCACTGGTTGCCTCCCACATGCCTGTTAGCAGGAGTTGAGCCCACAACCGGAAATCAAACCAGCAACCTCTCCAAGCATGGGACAATGCTCAACCAATTGAGCCACACTGGCCAGGGATTCTGTGGTATTCTTGCCAAAATCCATAACCCAGTCTAATATCAAACACAAACTGAGAGACGTTCTACAAAATAATCAACCAATTCTCTTGAAAAGTGCCACGGTCATGAAAGACTTCAGAAGTGCCATAGATTGAAGGAGACATGACAACTAAATGCAACATGTACGGGATCCTGGATTTGATCCTGGACCAAGAAGAGGCTAATGGAAAAACTGCTAGTATTACACCAAGTTAATTTCCTGGCTTTGATCACTGGATTGTGATTATGTAAGAGGAACCTTGGTGAGTGGTATATAGGAATACTCTGTACAAATTTTGCAACTTTGTAAATCTAAAATTATTTTAAAATACTTTTACTTAAACAGAGCAATTTTTAAAAAGCCTTACTGTAAGAAAGAAATACAAGATCAAAAAACCTAATACATTGCCTATTGTTTTTGCAGGCATAATTCCTTCACCTAATGGCTACACTTGGTGGCCATTAGCTGTAGGCACAGTATATTAATACAGTATGGGCCAAACCCAGGTTGGGACAGTTAATAGCAAAGTGTGTTGTTCAAGGGTGATAAAATGAGGCCATTCTATATTTCAACTAATTATAAATATTCACGCAAAACTCCAGTAACTATCAATATTGCATTCTTTGCGCAATAAAATCTAAGTCAGTGTTTGAGAAAGTACGGAGTCAGTGTTTGACTAACGATGACAGGCTTTTATTTACCTAATGCCAGCAGCATTTAAACATAACATGTCAGACCCCCATTCTGACTCTGGGACTACTCCCATCCTGTCAGACTTCAACAGTTTTCTGTCAGGCAACACCTGGCAAAATAAACCGCTTTCGTATAAGTTGTAGGCATCGCAAAATGACTATTGCTTGATGCTCGGTTATTTCTGTTTCCCCCCTCCTTTTTATTTTAAACTTGACTCTGCATCTAGCCTTGAGGCGCAAAAGCCTGCCTCTGAGATAATTAAAGGTCCCCAATGGCAAGTTTATTACCCAAGGTTTTGCTTTTTTAAGAAAACAAAACTGCCGAGGAATCACAATACTTTATGAGTCATGGTTTCTAACAAAGGAGCTATAGCTCCACCACTTTTGCTTCTCACCTCAGGGAGTAGCTGTGCAGCCCAAACTATTCATAAGCAATTTAGCTGTTTCTTCGTTTCAGATAGGATCATCCATGTGATAAATATACATTTCTTTCTATTATACTACTCTCTCTTGCAAAATAATTTTTGTTTTCTACAAAGGTTATGAGATATCATAAAAATGTCTAATGCATCTGGTTTAAGAATCCAATTCTTCCTTCACATATTTCTGCATCTGTTCACAAAATCTCTTTGACTTCAAAGGAAGCTTTTCAAGAGAAAAAGAAGATACACACAGGAAAAGTGGCCATAAATTTTTAGTAGTCCTTTTCTAAGGCCATTTTAATAACAGCACTGTGGGACAAGTATCTCTCTGAGACCTAAAATATCACAGATGATATTAATGACTATGCGTTTATACGGAGATTTACACTTTAAAATCTTATTCTGGGTCTAAAAGTGATATATCTTCAATTTAGAACATATGAAAAATATGAAAAGCTTAAAGAAGAAAACTTAAATCACTTTTTTTTGTTTTGTTCATCCTCATCTGAGGATATTTTTTCCACTGATTTTTAGAGAGCTGGAGTGAGGGAGAATAGGAAGGAGGGAGGGACACATCCATTGGTTGCCTCCTACTCTCACCTCGACCTGGGCCAGAGATCGAACCTGCAACCCAGGTATGTGCCCTTGACCGGGAATTGAACTGAAGAAACTTCAGTTTACGGGCCAACATTCTCACCATTGAGCAACACCAGCCAGAGCTTACATCATTTTTAATCCACTACTTAGGAAAACCTGGCAAAACAAAAACAAGAATGGTTGTTTCCTTCCAGTCTTTCTTTCTCTTCTGTGCATATATTTATATAAATATTTATTTACAAACATGATATTATAATTACACTGTTAATGCAATTTTGTATCTTTTTTCAATTGGTCTTTTTCAAAGTCCTTCAAACCATCATTCTTAATGACTGAAAATTATATGTAGATTTATGATTTTAAAAGATGCTGTCACATTTAATTCTTATTCTAATCAAAGCTAAACCAAAGGTTTGGAAACACTATTCTGTTCTGGGAATTCTACATCTTGAAACAATCTAGATTAACAGTTGATTAACTTCAAGATAATCGATTTGGTAAACGCCACTGAAACAATAGATGCTTAAGGAATTTTTTTCTTTAGCATTTATAATGATTTAGTCCCCTTAACTTCCCTGGGCAATTGTTAGTGGGCTGTAGTTTCTTTTTCTTTTTCTCTCTGAGTCTCTATCTCTCGTGACATCCTTAGCTCTTGTTTGGAATGAGAGGAAGTTGGGGTCTAAGGCTTAGTTACTTTGATGCCATAGCTTTTAACAGGCTACGATTAGCTATAAATATAGTAATCAACCAATTCTGGTTCTACAGAATCAGGCCCTAGAGTTTACAAGAGGGGAGTATTGGATTTACCTAATTTTTAATCAATCCTTCCCTAACATTGCTGCCTGAGATTTAAAGTAACATTTAAATAGCTGTTTGGTTGATGATGAGCTTTCTGATATAATATCCTTCATCCTCACAAGAATCTTATTAGGCTCCTATCCATGAAGAAAACTTAAGGGCCGAAAATTAACAGATTTATGGGGCGATTGGAAAAACAAGTTGAACTTAAATCTTGGTTTTCGTAATTAATCTCATTGCTGTACTTTGGATTCATAATCATGAAGCCATAGATTTCCCCAAGCTTGAAAGAACATAAATGGGGCAATCGGTCCAAGCCTCCTCCACCCATGTTCCTAAAGAGAATAAACCCTGCGAGATTCCTGGTGACTTGTCATGTCACCCCACTAGCAAGTGGCTGACACCCCCCTTGACCTCTGGTTTCCTAGCTTCCCGTGCAGTGCTCTTTCCAAACACCGCCGACCCCGCACAGCCTCTCCCCTGCGCAGCAGCACAGCCAATGCGCCAGGAAATCGCCCCGGCGCCCCAGAACCTGAAGTTTCTTCCGAGTTCCCACGAGAGCTCCCAAGAGATGTATGGCATGAGCCTCCCAGTGAGATTAGACTGGGAAGACGTTCAGTAAATGTCTGAGTGAATGAAACACACACACATACATACACACACACACACACATTATTATTATTTTTTCTTTTGCCATGAGGGTAAAATTCCCAATACTGACGGACAGGCTGAAGGCCATGTCCTGCTCTCCACGACAGAGTAATGAATGGCCACAGCAGGGCTGCCTGGCCCAGGACAGGACCACGCACTTGGGCAAATCTCCTTTGGCGTGAAGGAGAGGAAACACCGGGAAACGCACCGACATTCGCTCCAGCGCCGCGCAGCGCCGCGCCAACGGAAACCTCCCCATCACTAACCAGACTTCCCTAATTTCTCCTGGGCCCCAGGCTGGCGGTTAGTAAAGGACCGTAAGACCGCCAAGATACCGGAAGGTGGGCCGTCCCAGTGCGCGGGCGGCGGTACGCCCCTCCCACCCGGGCGCGTGACGTCATCACGCATCCCTGCAACGTCACCACGCTCCAGGTAGAAGGGCAGTCTTAAGGGAGACGACTTTAGAAGGGAAGCGGCCGGGTACTCTCCAGAGGAAACGGGGGTGGAGGCGGGAGGAGGGAGAAGCAAAAGGAGGGAAGAAGGAAGGGGAGGCGAGAAGAACGTAGGAGGATGGAAAACGAGCGGGAGAAGGGCCAGCTTTGGTTACCTGGGGAGCAGGAGCAGCTTGGGGTGCTTTATGAAGTGCCCGGATGAAGCCCCAGCACCCACGCGTCTTCCGCATTGAGCGCAGCGCCATGTTGAGGAGGGCGGAGCTTTCTTGAGTGACATCTGCTCGGAGAGCCAATGGCTGTTCGCTGCGCTCCTGCTTGCTGCGCCTGCGCTCTTGCCTTCGGGGGCGGGTCGCTGGGCCCCTGCGGTGGACAGACCGGTCTTTGCAGAGCAGGTGGGGACGGGGACGGGGCGGGGCTGAGCTTCAGTGTTTCCCTTGGAGACCTCATCTTTGCACTGGCTTCCTGGAGGGAGAGGCTCCGGAAGGAAGGCTAGGAAGTTGCTTTGGGGACCCTAGCCCCCCAGAGGCAGCTTTAAAGAAGTTTCTGTGGGAATGGGGCCTCGCAGTCCTATGAGCAGCGAGTCCTCTGTTGAGACCTGTGTAGCCTCATTCCACCCGGGCTGCAGACACAGCACTGAAGGGACCAAGAAAGACACGCATCTTTCTTTCGAGAAGTGTGCGGCCTATGGGGAGCAGACACATACCCGATGCAGTGCTTGGGCTGTCACAGAAGCCCACACCAAGATCGGGGAGGAGGGGTGGTCAGGGCGGGACCGAGACCCGTCCAAGGAGAAGGTGAGACCTGGTAGAAGCATTTTCCTGTTTTGAGTTCAATTCTGAGGAGAGTTAGCGCAGTGTTCCTGCTTCTGCTGATGCACCCCACTGCTCCCAGACATAGAAGACCGATATCAGTAAAAATAGAACGCAGAGATTTCGTCAGAATTCCTTTCTGTTTTTGTTGTATGTGTCCATTGAACAAATACTAAAAATGACCTTATTTCCAGAGGGAGAAGTAGGAGATAAATGGAATAAGGTTGCCCATACTCTTAAAGGAAGTGGAATCTAACAGGTTAAACCAACATTTATAAATTAAAGCCATCCATTAAAATCTCATAAGAGTGGTACAAAGCACTGGTGAAGTTCAAGCATAATTGGTGTAATATAAGCGGGGAAGGAATGGTAGGGATGACGAGGGGGAGGTGGGAGAATCGAAGAAAATTAAGTCTCGTTCTTCAACAAAACTGGCTTTGTCTCTGTCAAATTTGAGGTGCCTATCTTCCCAAATGCGAGGCCCGTTAGATAGATAGGTCTGTCTGGATCTCAGAAGAGAGGTCTGAACTAGGAGACAGATGGTCACGGAAACCAAAGAAGGTCTGAGAAACCAGGTAGCGTTTGTGGAATAAAAGTCAGAGTAACCAAAAGATACTTTAAAAACCCCCAAATGTAGTAATACTGAAACCCAGGAAAGAGATATGGCCAGTGGAAGTGATGATCTTTAAAACGATATACACTACAGTATCCCTTGTATATATGCAGTTTTATAAAATGTCTAAATGTTTTGTACTCACATACCCAGCAAAGAATTAAAATACAGGGTGTTGTGTGTTTTTTTTTTTTTTAACAGATGTTATTAATTAGTTTCAGTGATCTTAGGAATTAGTAAGATTAGATTTATGACATCCTACGCCATCTGGATTGTAAAATAAAGCCTAAAAATAAGATGAGGGTTACAGCAGATAGCTGAGGAAGGGCCTGCCTACTCTGTTTCCTCATGCAGCAATTTTCGTCTTTTATCTGCTAAGACATGACTGATATTTCCATGTGAGACATACTCCCATTGAAGAAGGTGTAACAGAACACACGTGTAATCATTTCAATACCTGTATTTTTTTAGGTACATTATTTTCACACTTAGAGGTAGTAAGTTGTGTTTCCCACCATAGTGGTGACCTGATGACTTGAGTGTCCCTCCGCCAGCAAGATTGCTCCTTGGACAGGATTATATTTTGTATTTTTTTTACATTTCCCCCAGCATGTAGTAGAGTGCCTTACATACAGTAGGCTTATCTTTTAAATCTAAATTTTATTTTGACCAAGTACATGATTAATTTTCAGAGGTTGATAGGCTTTTAACATGCCAGAAGGGACAGCTGACAGCAGAAAAGACACTAGATCCATTAAAAGCAAGCTAGTTTTGTCTGCTTTTGTCGTTTTTTACAGCAGCATTCTGAAACCTTTTGGTGTTGGGGAAAGTATCACCAAAAAGCTCACCATCAAATAAGCTCACCATCTTGTTCTAAGAAGTACAGTATATTCAGCATATTTTAAGGATTTTAAATGCTAATCCTGAACCTTCAGGAAAAGATATGTTGTTGGGTGCATCTTTTAAAGAAAAAGTATATAATACACTTTTGAAATGTTTCCGTACAAAGCGGTTAACATTCTTAAAATTTATATAATGCAGAGTTAGTTTGGTTACATGGGAAGTTCACTTATGAAATATCTCATTGTGCAAGAGTATTGTTTAAATGAAGCACCATTGTATTTATTGCAATATTTTACCATTGCTATCCTTTGGTAAGCCAAAGAATTTTCGTCAAATGAGATACAAATGTTGTATTGGAAGCAGACTTTAGATAGACTCACAATTAAAAACTCTTAATAGTCATACATGTATGCACTGTATGGCTATATAATAGACTCATGCTTACAATTTTGAACACTTGTTTAAAATTTGATTTCTCATCAACACTTTTATTTTATAGTAAGTTCTGGTAATTTTGCCCTTTTCTTCACATTCCCTGCAAATCCTGTCCTGCTTGAAACAATAGATTAAAACCAGACTGGCAGTTGGGGAACACTTTCTATTGCAACCATGTGTGTCAGAAGAAAGGATTAGGTTTCCTTGTCCAAGAACATCAAGGGGAACCTCCACCTCTGCAGACACACCTCTGTTCCTCAGTAATGGAGAGTTTATATCTAGTTAGATTTAAATGGGATAAGGAAAGAGTTTAAATCCACTCCCAGCTCCAATAGTATAATCAGCCCTCAAGACTTAAAGTATCCAATTTTGTTTCTCTAATTTAATTCTAAGTGTCAGGTTGGTATTAGATGCTGATCAAGGTAATGGAGAGTTATCCTACACATTTATTCACTTAAAGAAGAATTTTGCAGAATGCAGAGACTAGATGGCATCTGTGTTCAAAACTTACTTAAGGCACAGTCCATTCCCCTCTGACCTTTAACTTATATTGAATATGTTTTTAAAATAGTGGAATAGATTCCACAATGAAAGCAAACCCTTCTTTTCATAATTTTGGGTACAACTATCGTTCCCTGGTCTTACTGTCTTATACTTGATTCATTATAAGGACTTAAAGTGAGGCAGAGTCTGCCCTTGAGTGAGATAACTTCCAAGAGTCATTAAACTACTGGTGTACAAGAAACCATGATCATGATTTGGAGATTTGTTCTTTCTCGCCTTTGTCTTAATTCTAATTCCACCCCTCATTTTATAGCTGACAAGGCTGGTCCAAAGATATCAAGTATCTTGACAAAAAATCACCAAGGAATTAGAGCAGGAATAGGAAGAACTTTAATTTTCAGACAAGTGTCCTGCTTTGTTTTTTAAAATACATTTTTATTGATTTCACAGAGGAAGGAAGAGAGAGAGAGAAAAAACATCAATGATGAGAGAGAATCATTGATTGGCTGCCTTCTGTACTCCCCACACTGGGGATCGAGCCGCAACCTGGGCATGTGCCCTGACCAGGAATTGAATCATGACCTCCTGGTTCATGGGTCGGCGCTCAACCACTGAGTCACACAAGCCATGCCAGATGAGCACCCTACTTTCAGTGACAGCTCTGTGAAGCTGAGTAGTTACAGCTAGAGCTGGTCCAGGGGAAAGGCTTAACCCCCAAAGCAACAAAAGGGCTAATTACTAAAGGACTGATGCTCTCATCTCTCCACCCCCAACATTGAAAGACGCTCTTTCCCTGGTTGTTGTGGAGGAAGTGCAAATTATAGCCCTTTCTCTGTCTGAGGATAATCATCAGAGACTGACTTGGTCTTTGGGAAAGCTACTTAGGGGTTTTAAGGGAGGCATTACAATACTATGACTTTTTTTTTTTTCCTGGAAGGTATCAGCTAGCAAAATTAAGGGAGAAACTGGGTGATATGGATAGCAAACGAGAAATTTTCTCAGAATACCTTTTCCTTAAAATCAAGGGCCAAGGCCATAGTTTTTTCCAGATTTAACTTCTTACCTTAGGGACTCTGTCTTACTCTGCAATGATGGTCATTTTGACTGGGGTTGGGAGATGGTGGGGAGGGTGGGGAGCGTCAGAGCAGACCTGGGTGGATAACTTGCCTGTGTTGATCTTCAGAGAACTGACTCCATTCCTTCTAGAGTCCGTAGGGTGCAGAACCATGACGGGGATGGATTACATGGGACGTTCCAGGCCCTAGAATCCCTGTTCACATGGAATGTTTTCTCTCGATACTTTTTGTCAGGTTGTCAGAGTACAAGTCTTCCAAGAAGATGGAGAGTTGCTCCCTTAATAACTTGTGGATCTGGGATGGAAAGAATACTTTTGGAGAAAGGTAAGAGACTAATTTCAATATCCCCTAGGCCCACTGTTCACCTTCAGTGTTAAGACATGTGTTCCATGGAGGAAGTGGAGCTTGGAAATTAGCAAATTAATGTTTAGAAAGAGCATTTTACTGTGTTGTCTCTGCATGCCATAGCTTTCCAGATGGTGTGACCCTAAAGACAGGATCTGTGTGTTATCTTTACACTCACTCTATATTTAAATCGCCGCCCTTTGTTCACAGCCACTTCCCAACTGGGATGAACAGGCTTCCCACTTCGGGGGTTTTTTACAAAAAAAAATATAGCAAGGTGTCCCCAGAGCTTCCGGCAGTGTCTTTTAGCTCAGCTCTTTTCTGTTTCGTCTATGTAATCAAGCTACGTTTAGTCCCTTCCCACACACTGTCTGTCAGGTGTAATGCTGGGATCCTAGCCATGACCTACTGCTTAGATCTTGATCTTGCTAAAAATAAATAAATAAATAAATAAATAATAAATAAATCAGAAGATATCTTGATCTCTCTGAAAACAGGGAGGGTATTAAGCTCACTGTCTCAGTCAAATCCCATCTCCACCAGTTAGATTCCCTTGGACTTTCTAAAACCCACTGGCTGTTGTAATCAGCTCTGTTTTTCTTTGCTTTTTGTCTTCAATAAGTAGAACTGAGCATGAACTCAGCGACAATTTGTTTGCTGGACCAGCAATTTTCAACTGGTGTGCTGCTAGTGCACACTGGTGTGCCACAAGAATTTTTAAAACATGCAATGCCTGACTAGTCAGGGGCACTGACCTCTCTTCCCTTAGATTGTCAAATAAAATAAAATAAAAAATCCATCTGCTGTGAATGAATCAAAATTGTACCTATTTTTTTTTTTTTTTTGCCAAGCTGGCAAAAAAATATAATATGTTTTTTGGTGTGCTGCAGAATTTAGTAATAAGTTTATGTGTGCCATGAGATGAAAAAGGTTGAAAAATCACTGTGCTGGACCCATTACTGATCTCTGTGAATCATTTAACCTGTATGTACTTTTTGTGAAAAGAGTAAAAAATAGGAGGGTTAGATGACATACATTGTAACTCTTGTGGTTCTAGGAACTATTTTCCGTTTGGTTCCAAATTAGATTCATTTAGAGATGCAAAGATAGATATTACAGTCAGAATCCATATTGCAAAGCATGTCACCTGAACTCTTGTCCATGTCAGGTGTGTGTGTGTGTGTGTGTGTGTGTGTGTGTGTTACATGCATTTGAGTCAGCTCCGACCCCTGGTGACCCTATGAATGAGTGATGTCCACAATATCCTATAGACTCATGCCTGTGGCTTCTTTTATAGAGTCAGTCCACCTCGCATTTAGTCTTCCTCTTTTCCTGCTGCTTTCTGTTGTCCCCAGTATTACTGTCTTTCCCAGAGAACCCTGCTTTCTCATGATGTGCCCAAAGTAAGACAGCTTCAGTTTCTCCATGGCAGATACCGAGATACAAATACTGAGAATGGGTCACAACATGTTCTCAAGACTGTGCACCACGCAGCTGCTCTCAACCAAGTAAAATTGCCCCTCCTTGTCATCTTGTCATGGCAGGGTTAGGTGTATGAAAGACAGAGAATATGAAACTTCTCTCACCCAACTGTGAACATGAAGTGGCTTTCCACAGATCTCTTTTCAGAGGGTAAGTAGGAAGAGCGTTTTGACCTATTTTCATTCTCTCTGGCTACTTTAGGTAGCAGTTCCTTCATTCCAACTGTGTTGCTTTCTGTTTTTTCTCAGAAACGTACTCATTATTGTGTAATTGGCAATCACAATGATTTGTATGACAGCTGCTAATCCATGAGAGTTCCAGGAGAGGGTTATCCAATAGGTTCTGGGGTCTTTAGGAGAGGAATATAGCCACTGTCCCCCGCCCCCAACTTGGCAGGTGTGGGGAATGAGGTGTGTGCTGGGGGGCGGGGGAGGCAGCAGCCCTGCTTCTCTCTTCCCACACTCTGATCTTCTGATCTTTTGATTTCTCCATTCACTGAACCTCAGGGCAAAGGAACTTGTTTATCGGAACCATAAAGGTCAGTCCTTCCCCCTTACCCCCCACCATTCCCCCACTGTTCCCCAGAAAACAGGAGGCAAAAATGGTAGACAGTGGATCTGGAAGGCCAGATGGAAATATTTAGTACAGAACTAGAAATATAACTGTGAAAAAAGTGACAAAAATCTGAGTAGTCTTAGGATAACTTTCTAACCAGGCATTAAACTTGAAGGCAAGACCACATTTTCATCTCTGACCAAAAGAGTACTTGACATCAGAGGAAAGCTCGATAAATATTGGCAGGTTGATTAAATGAACAGATGAACACATGTGAGGGGAAAGAGGGAGGTGTGCGGTGAGATATTTTAAAGATAGACAGTGCAGGGAATTGGGGGAAAAATTTAAAGCCTAAAATAATCCCTGGAAACATTTTCTAAATCTCTGATATATGCTTGCTTTCTTGTGGTTTGCTCTTTCCACTAAAAAGCAGAATGCATAAAATATTCTGATTAGTCGAGGGTTATTACTTAGGTTCCAACTAATGTTTTATATATAAATCTAAATTACTGCTTTTCCTTCATTCTGCTTCTCTTTCTGTTTGGTCAAATCCCTGTGGGAGGGAGCAGCATTCCTGTGGTGGGTAAAATAATTTCTATGGAAATTATTCAAAACACAATTTTTGTAAACACTATGTGAAGATATGATTTATTTCTGGATTCAGCCCTTTCTCTTGCATCATCTCCCTGTTTATCATCAAGTTTTCTGTTTGCCAGCATCTCCCTTTAAGGATTTGTCCAGCCCTGACTGGATGGTTCAGTTGATTGGAGCAACATCCCACACACCAAAGGGTTGCAGGTTCTATTCCCAGTCAGGGCACATACCTAGGTTGTGGGTTTGATCCCAGGTGGGGGCACGTATGGGAGGCACCTGATCAATGTTCCTCACCTCTCTCGCTCTCTCTCTCTCTCTCTCTCTCTTTCTCTCTCTCTCTCTTCCTTCCACTCTCCAAAAATCAATAAGTACATATCCTCACGTGAGGATTCAATCATTAAAAAATAAAAACATCCGTACCAGTTTTGCATCTACGAGGATCAGCTTCCATTAGGAGGGTTGAGACAATGGGAAGCAAGACAGGGGAGAAGAGACTGCATTCCAGGAGGGAGCAGGTTACTGAAAAGAACACAACTCAATTCCCAATCCCAATTCTGCCATAACTAGCATGGTGACACTGGGAAGTTTTTTAACTTCTCAGCCTGCTTTTTATCTAAAAAAAATGGGAGGGGTTGGACCAACTGATTATCAAGGTTCCCGCCCTGAATTCTGTAAGTGTATGCTCCTGCAGGTGTCCCATTTTTAACCCAAGGATCTTCCAGTACTTTGGACGTAACACCTACAAGGCTGACAGGTGAAACATCCTCCCCTTGTGACAGATGGTCCTGCTGGGACCTCAGTGATGCTTTACTTGTAACATTGTCAATCTGTGGAAGACTCAGACTGTGTCTCGCTAACCGAGTATTGGAGAAGTTGAACCTGAACTGTGACTGACCTGAAGAGAGCAGTTAGTGAGAAAGTCATTTGATAATAAGACAAAGGTAGATTGATGAGTTTTCTAGTATTATCGTATGCTTTATAGGGGGTGTTTGGGAGCTAGTACCAGAGGAGAGAGCCTGGAGGCAGAGTAAGAACTGGAGGAGATGGGAGAACCATGTAAAGGTTGTTAGGCAAAGGTGCCAATACTTTTTTATTCATTCATACAATTCACTCATGTAAAATATTTAATACATGCTTACTGCATAAAACTAAAGACTAGAAGGTAATCTTGTGTCACTACAGGTACCACATATACTTCTTTTTATATGTCACCATATGTCTCACCTTCTTTTCTTGGCTCTAGTTGCCTAGTTCCCACTCTGAAATCTCAGAGACAAATGGAATTGGAAAGCCAGCATTCTTCTCTCCCTCCCTCCTCCTTCCCTTCCTTCCTTCCTCACTACCATCCTTCTTCCTCCCTTCCCACACCTACTATTAACCTGGACAGCTAAGGTACTGAGGATCCAGAGGATAAAGACATGGATTTCACCATGGAGAAGCTGAGTTTAGCAAGGAAGATTTTTTGTAAAGTTGTTAAAATATAACAGGATAGCTGTCATTCTAGAGCACAGACATGATACTGTAAAGTCCCCCAAGTTTTAAAATATTGGCAATTAGGTAACAGTATGAGTCCACAAGTCCACAGACAGAGCAAGCATGTACATTTCAGGGCCTCTCTCCCAGTCACAGGCACAGCTCCCACACCAGCCCTGGCTACACTTGTCAGTTATATTGTCACTGCTAGTTTCACCTCAGTAAGAACAAGGCCCACATGCCTAGGGCACAGAAGGTCACAGGAAATGGGACTGGGGTTTCTTCTTAAATAATAACATCCCTTTAGAACTTATTTTATCTCGGTTACCCTTGGCAACCAAGGAGGGAAGGAAAAGAAGGGGCTCTCTTGCTCTGATGGCTACTGTGTTAGGAAGATCCCACTCCAATCCTGGTGCCACATTTTGTTGTTGTTAAAAAATAAGGTATCACCCTAGCAGGTTTGGCTCAGTGGATAGAGTGCCGGCCCGTGGACTGAAGGGCACCGGGTTTGATTCCAGTCAAGGACATGTACCGTGATTACAGGCTCAATCCCTGGCCCTGGTTGGGGCATGTGCAGGAGGCAACCATTCGATATGTCTCTCTCACATCCATGTTTCTCTCTTTCTGTCTCTCCCCCTCCCTCCCACTATCTCCTAAAATCAATGGGAAAATATCCTCGGGTGAGGATTAACAACAACAACGAAGTAAGGTATCACTTCCTAGAACACTCAGTTTTGCTCTCATAGAGTCCTAGACCTTTCCATTGTCTGACATTTAACACCAGGAAGTGGTGGGGTGGGGTGGAGTAGGGAGATGTGATGTTACCAACACATAAACACAGACTCTCCAGGGCTTTCCTTTCTATTATCTACTCATCTAGCAAATACTTAGTGCCTGTCATGTGCCGGACACCATGCTAAGAGCTAAGTACACAAAGCTGAATAAGGTCTCCACGCTCTTTGAGATCACAATTTAATGGGGGAGACTGCATTTAGCAAACAGAATTTCAGGGAAAACATCTTTGTATCAAGAAGATCTTTTTATTTCCTTCAATTCACACGTTAGAGACAGTCCTGGCTCTACTACCTACTATTTGAGTGACTTTGGACAGGGTCTGAGCCCCAGTTTCCACATCCAAAAATGGGGGCAAAGGATAATGAGCTCCTCAGATGCCCTTACAACTCTGAGATGAGTACTGAGCTGGAATTTTGAATTGGAAAGAGGAGCAAGGTGCTCATAAGAGGGGGAACTGCATGAAGGAAGCCTGGATTTGTAGTTGAACAAGGTGTACAAAAAGATGAAGGTCAAGAGAATAAGGTATTAACACATCTCCCTGCTTCCATCCTTGTCCCCTTCAGTCTATTCTCTCAATCAGCAGCCAGAGGAACTCATTAAAAGGCATGTCAAATCATAGTCATTCCTCTGGCTTTCCATGTCACTGGGAGAAAAAACAAGTCCTTCCCCAAACCTATAGGACCCAAATGATCTGCATTCTTCATCCCAGCCTCTTTTCCCCCAACATTGCTCTGCTCAGGACACATTGGTCTCCTCACACACCACGCAACATTTAGTAATATATTTTACTTATATTACTTATATCCCCGGTCGAACACCCCTCTCACAATCTGGGACCGCTGGCTCCTAACCATTCACCTGCCTGACTGCCTGATTGCCCCTAACCTCTCTGCCTGCCTGCCAGATCACCCCTAACTGCCTCTGCCTGCCTGCCTGATCTTGAAAGATCAGACTCACATTGGTCTTCAGACATTTTCTGTCAATAACACTGGCTTCTTTCGGTTGCTCTTTAGACGTAGTCCCACCTCCCTGCTGTCACAGTCAGAGATGCAGGTGAATAAGAGTCCTGGCTGTCAGGCCACTGAGAGCTGTCGGACCAACGGCTAATTCTGGCTGATTCTGTGGGGGTGGGACTTCCTCTTCCCTGCTGTAAGAGTCTCCACAATGCAAGCATTCCACGCCCGGCCGTGGAACGGTACCCCCCCCCCAAAACCGTTCCGCGCCCCCGCTGCACAGAGGCCCTCCGCATCCGGGGTGGAACGCTTGCCTTGTACCACAGCAACGAAGCAAGCATTCCTCCAGGCCGCTCACACTGCCCACTCTCAGCGGCTGCCCGCCCCCCCCCCCCCTCCGGGACTGGGGGACTCTGGCAGGGCTGAGAGGACTGGGCACCTCCATCTTGTGGCTATGGGCGCTGCAATCTTTTGTGATGGCGTTACAGTTAATTTGTATATTACCATTTTATTAAATATGATTCCTTAAGTTTAGCATGTGTGTGGCTAATAATACACTTGTTGAATGAATTTCCCCAGTTTACCAGTAAAGAAACTAAGATCCAGAGAAGGAAAGTGTATGAGGTCAAGGTGCTCTTTAAAAGAACAGTCTGGACCATTAAGCACTTAGATCTTCTGTCTCTCTGCCCCCCTCGCTCTGTGGCAGACAGAATAATGGGCTCCAGAGAAGTCTACCTCCTAATGCCCAGAAACATGGCAAAGGGACTTTGCAGATGTGAT